GCCTTCCCCGCCGCCCCCGCCGCCCCGCCGCGACAGCCCCGCGTACGCGGCCAGCCACATCGCCGCCGTCACGTTCGCCAGCAGCAGCGTTGCCCTGAACGACAGCCCCAGCCAGGCGCGCAGCGCGGCCACCCACAGGTAGCCAAACACGCCGGCAAAGCCGGTGCCGCTGGACCAGGCTGTCAGCGCCGCGTCGGTCGGCGGTTGGCGGGCGCAGAGCGCGAGCACCGTCGCCTCGCCGAGGCCGCCTTGGAACGCGACCACAGACACGCCGAGCAGCTGCAAATGGTTGCGGGAAGCCAAGGGTCGAGCGTCGACCCCAGTGAGTGGTGGGCGCGCGCGCGTGTGTGAGTGTATGTGCATGAGTGTGTGTGTGTGTGTGTACACGCAGGTGGAGCCGTTTCTGAACCACTTCGAACCTGGGTCAGGATCCCATGGGCTGGTGCGTCAGCTTCTTTGGCCATCCCCGGCCGCACCTCGCCCAAACGTGTGCTGGCATCTGGCGTGCGCCCCGGGCCGCGGTTCATTGGGACTTGGAACCCACCTGGGCGCCGAGGCTGCCGCCAAAAGCAATGAGTGCATAGGCCACGCTCATCAGCACGGCCGCTGTCACCATGCGTGTACTGGCGGGAACCCGGTGGTACCACTGCAGTGGAGCCAGGGGGCGGGGGAACAGAAGCTAACAGACTGCTGTCGTCGTGGGGCGGGTGGGATCCATTCGCGCCCCCCCACAATGCCTCTGCCAGCTCCTTTGGGCCATGAAATCTGCTCCCGGTGCTCACTGCCACTGCCTCCTCCTGCTGCTGCTGCTGCTGCTACTGCTGCTCGTGGTGCTGCTGCTCTGGTGGTGGTGATGGTGGTGGTGCTGCTGCTGCTGCTGCTGTGGCTGAGGCTGTTTACCTGCCAGCACCTGCATCTCATGTGCCTGCTGCCTGTGCTGACCACACCGACTCTGAGTCAAAGATATGCCGCGAGGCGCGTCGGCGAGAGCGGCGCGGCGCACCAGCGGCACGGTGGCTTTGACCAGGATTGTCGGGGCGATGGCCGCAAAGTACACCAGCCCCACGCCCCCCGACGAGATCTCTGGCGCCAGCGCCAGTGCGATGACGTAAGCGCTGTTGTTGTTAAGGCCCTGGGGGTTGCAAGGGGTCGATTGGGAGGGTGGGGGTGCTTGGGATTGCCTGTGGGCGATTGTTGTGAGGTGTCACGTTCAGCAACTGCTCATCAAATGATGCTCCAACAACGCCTGAAATTGGTCCCATGCGCACGATTTTCACAAATTGCTTTGAGGCACCCACCAAGCACCAGAAGCAGGCGAGAAGCGACCAGGGCACTGTGGTGCTGCTGGTGCAGCGGCGCCGCTGCACGACCTCGAGGCATTCCCTCGATGTCGTGCCCGCCATCGGGCACCGCTTCTGACGCTAACACGCTGGATTATCTATGATGATATCGGTCCAACATGGCTGATCGTGCAAGGGTACCGCACTGTTTGTGACACGCACGCCATGTCAATTGTTTTGCAGATCACGACATAAGATCGTCATCATGATGCTAAACAAGCATCATCTGTGCATGTGGACCACAATGCTCGTCTGGAAGGCTGTCGTAGGCAGGAGCACTGTCAAATTAGTCACAAAGCAGTGTCACTTCAGCACCGGTTGGGCTACCTATGGTGCCTCCTTCGACTCATTAGAGCCTGTATGGAGCCCTTCTCATGAAGCAGGAGGGACAGTACAACAGCTGCGCTCATGGCGATTGTGGCGCACACCATCATGGACCAAGTGGTGGCACGTGTCGCAGACCTGCGGTGATCACCTGCTGCGCAACTGTTCGCAACAAGACTTGCTGTGCCTGCTGGTGTTCAAAGGATCTGTGAGCAGTGTTGAAGCAAACAATTCTTTAGAACAATGACCATTTTTAGACGGCCTTTTATTGCTGGGCTGCACTCACTTGCATGCACTACCTGCATAGGTGGGCAGTGGTACCACCGACTGCTCCACTACCAGGGAGGCCTGATACCAACCTGGCCAACAGGCCCGCGTCAGCACAGCATAAGCCACCCAAAACCAAGAGTCCCGCAACCTCAACTGGCCCTCATACTTACCTTGTATTGACTAGGTCGAACAGATTTTCATCATATGCTTGTGTGGATGCGCGCTACGGCATTCGACCCAGAAGCGAATCTGCACGCTGTAACAATTGCTAGGTCCAGTCCAGATGCTCAGAGCTGCGAATAACGATTTATTGTTCACCAAGCACCTGTTTTACGCAGGCCTGCAGGAGACGGAGCTGCCCACAGGGTTGACCATCATGTTGACCGCGCGCGCCATGGCTATGCGCACACCAAGCAGGCGCCTTGCGGGCGCCATCTCACTGTGCACTGTCTTGTGGGATGGCAAGAGAGATCTAGCGCTGCCTCTAGCACTGAAATGATGAAGTTCATGAACACATTCACATGAAGTGTCTACCACCAAAGGTGGTGTATGTTGGTGTGGCACTGAGTGTTTACAACAAAGCATGTCACGCCCCACCACGCAGCCTGGCCGTGACGACCAGCGCCTCGGCCGGCACCTTGAAGCCCACCAGGCGACGCAGCTCCGCCGGCGGCAGCCGCGCGCCCGGGTCGCCGCTGCGCCGCCACCGCGCCGCCTCCAAATCAAACCTCGGGCACGCCGCCGCAGCGCCGCCAAACTCCAGAGCCGCGCGCGGCAGCACCGCCGCGGCGGCGGCGCTGGCGGCGCGGAGCGCCCAGCTGCTGCCGCCTTTGCTGCTGCCGCCGTCGCCGCCAACGCCGCCGTCGCCGCCGCTGCCAGATTGGCTCTGATGGGGCAGCTCCAAATCCAAGTGGTGCACCACAGTCATGAGCAGCAGCCCCAGCTCCATCTCTGCAAAGAAGCGCCCCGGACACCTGCCCAGGGAATTCAAGGGCGTTGATTTGACTTTGGGGTGCTGAAACAGCTGCAGGGCCCAAAGCTGCCGCTTCGGTGTTGCCCAACCAGCGCATGCCCGCTGACCTGGCAGCATGCGGCTGGCCAAGTGTGGTGGGTGCCTTTTGTGCATCTCCCCAGGCGGCCGAGAGCCTCAGCGGCGCGCCGCGCAAGTTGCCTGGACGCGTTCCAACCAGGGCAATGCGGCCGCCGCCGACATCCCCAACAGCTTACCTCCAGAAGCCGCCGCCGAACCCAAACCCGGCCGTGCTCGTCGCCACCGCCCCCGGCTCCAGCTGGATGGGCGCCCTGCCCGGGTCGAACGCCCAGGGCGACCCCGCGCCGCCGCCGAACAGGGCGTCGTCGTGGTGGCTCACAAACGGGCATATCGCCAGCACCGTCCCCGGCGGCACGCGCAGCTGCCGCGAGGCTCCCGCCACGCCTTGACGCTCCCCCTCGCCGCTGCTGCCGCCGCCGCTACCGCTGCTGCTGCCTGTGGCGACGGCGGGCGGCAGGTCCCATTTGATGCCCTTGCCGCCCGCCAGGCGGATGGCGATACTGTGCACGCGCAGCCGGATCGACTCCGCCACGCAGCGCGACGCGTGGCTCCGCCGGTCGAGCGCGAGCCGTACTAGCGCCGCGCGGAGTGCCGCGGCCGCCGCAGTTGTGGGAGCCTCGCCGCCGCCGCCGCTGCCGGGCCCGCCTGCCGCGCCGCTGCCGGCCGCCGCTCGGGCGGCAGCAGCTTCCTCGGCTGCAGCTGCGGCGATCTCTTTGCGGATGGCGGCCAGATGAGGGGCGTTTTCCGGCAGCAGCAGGAACCCTATGGACCAAAACATAGCCGCCACACTGTTGGCCTGCACCCAGAGTCAAACAGGTGCGTTTGTAGACCAGGGGGAGGGGGAGGGGGAAAGCAGCACGTGAACTGCATGAAGGCGCCAGCAAGCTGTGAGCAGGGGCCGCATATGCCTGCCCACACATCTTGTTGGGCCCCTGCCTGGACAGTCTTCGCGCGGCCACTGCTGGGCAAAGCGCCGGCTGAGACAGCCCATGACGGCAGCACACTGGCCTGAACGGTGCGCTCGGATTGGGGGTTCCGGGCACCTCTGCAGCACCAAGCAGGCGTACTGTGAGCTGGAACGCATTGCCACCTGCCGCCATGCTGACTCAGCGCACCTGGGAGGCCCACAGCACCGCCAGCAGCACGTTTGGGTGCAGCGCCGCCCTCAGGCCGCAGCCGTCGAGCAGCTCCCCGCCGGCCGTGCCCTCAAAGTCCCCCGCGGCGATGGAGGCGCGCAGAGCGCGCAGCAGCTCGGCGCGCGCGGCGCGGAAGGCGGGGAGGAGGAGGTGGGGCACGGGGGAGGCAGCGACCTCAAAATTCTCCTGAAGGGGTTTCACGGGGGAGGGGCGGGCGCATGGGCACTGGCTGAATTTCAGGTTCCATCCCGCCAGGGACGCATACATACGCTCGATGCGTACCGTATCTGCAGACACCTGCCCCTTGAATTGGGCATGCTGAGGCCGCGGGAGGCGCGGCGCGTTCCCCAAGCGTCACCTCGAAAACGAAGAAGGTGCTCTGCAGGTGCTCGCCGCCCCAGCGGTCGAAGAACGCGCGGCCGAACAGCTGCTGGCCCGCGGCCTGGAACACCAGCCCCTTGGCCGCCTCCCATAGCTCGACCTGCTTTCGGTGGGGCCAGGAACCAGGAAACTATGCAGGGTGCCATCGCAATTAGCGTGTACAGGTTGTGCCGCTGCGTGCAAGCTTGGGAGGCAATCCTGAAAGCAAGATGTTTCTGAAAGTTGTGCAGTGCAGGCGCGCAGGCGCTACGGTCGTTTTGCAGCAATGCGGCAAGGGGCCCCGACAGGCGGCGCGGCGAGCGCACTTCGCCACTGCTCGCCCATGCACGGACGAGGGGCAGTGCTGTGTCGAGCAGCCCCTCCGCGTGGCGCTGCAGCTGCGCGGGCACCTGCGCGGCGTGGGGGCAGGCGGCGCAGAGCGCGGCCGCCGAACATCACCTTGCGGCCTGCAAGCCTCGGCGGGGTCTTTGATCGGAGGGTCGCATGACTATGCTGATGCGACGAGGGCAGCTCCGTCAAACCAGCAAGTCCAGCCTCCAGTCCTGCATGGATCGCGCAGGCATTGATCTAGCCCGCGCCCCTGCTGGCTGTGTGCACTGCTGCTGGTCGTGACCGGTCACCGCCGCTGGTCGCCGCCGACTTATGGCCCTGAGTTGCGCGTGCCGCCGTCGCCTTCGGACCTCCCCACCCCCCCCCCCCCCCC